CTGTCCTGTCTCTCCAGACCCCACGGAACATAGAGCACTCACTGAAGCCCCGTCAGGTGCCCTGCGTACTCCTCACCACTCCCTAGGCAGTGACGTTCCCACCCCCGGCTTGCTGATGGAGAACCCAGCACTCAGAGACAGGCAGCCACCTGGCTAGGGTTGCGCAGCTGCTGAGTGCTGGGGCTGGGATGTGAACCCAGGTCTGCCTCGGAGTTTAAAGCTCTTTTCATCACTGAGGGAGGCAGGACCCTCACAGTGTCCCAGGCAAAGGGAATAGTTTTCCCAGTGGTGCCCAGTGTGCCCCATCTTCCCTGCACAGGGAGGCACACAGCAAGCCCCACATTCCAGCTGCACCTCTCTCTGACGTGGAGCCCACGGGCAGTTCCATGCGTGTCCTCGGAGACAAGGCATTCCCTGCCATGCTGAAGCTGGTACGAGTAACAGCAATAATTTCCAGGCAACAAGATGCCCGGGTCCTCTGGGCCACATTATCTCGAATCCTTATAACAATACTTTCCCCTAGGTGGGCACGTCCCCATTTTACAGAAGGGGCTCAGGTAGGTGCCAAGGCTGTGTGGTCCTTAACCTGGCTCTGCCGGACAGGGAGGGAGGAAGCCGAGGGCCACCAATCACATACCCAAGAGGAGATCCTCACAACCTGCTTCCCCCACTGGAGAAAAAAGCCGGCAAACAAATTAGGCTACTCCAGCCCAGGGCCTGGGGAATACAGGGTGAGCCAGGAGTCAGCTGTGAATAATGCCTCCGTTCAGCAGAGGACTGCAGCCTCAGGAAGGCCTTTGCTTACCCTTCCGCAAGCAGCCAAGGTGCTGAGGTTAATGGAAAGGTGCCCTCCCACGGGCCAGAGGGTCCCCAGGCTCGGGCTGGCAGAGTGAGCCCTTCAGCCCTCGGATCCCCAAGGAGGCCACTATGGAGGCCTTTTTATAAGGCAATGCGATGTCCCTTCCTTCCAAAGAGATCCATTTCCGCGGACAGGCCCTTACCCCAGGCTGGGGTCAGGGGTGTCCACAGCCTTGAATGAGTTGGATGAGGTCTATGCCAGCTGGGGTGCCCACGGCGGAGGGAGTCCTGCTGGTAACTGGCACCCTGCAGGCCTATGGGAGGCCTCCGGAGCTGGGAGATGCAGCAGCCGGAAAAGACGGGCTGACTCTGCTCTTCCCCGGCACCACACCCGGGCTCTGCCGCGCGGGTGCTCCGAGGGGAGGTGAGCCTCCCAGGAAGGCCTTTCCCGGTGTAAACACTTCCAAGGAAAGGAATGTGCTGGGAAGAGTGGGGTTGGGCCACTGGAGCTCCGTGCAGCCAGCTGGGGTAAATTAAAAAAAGAAAGAAAAAAAAAAATCACCCCGGGACTCTGATGGCTTTTTGTGAAACTCAATCAAAGCCTCGCTGCCCGCCTCCTGCCGAGGTGGGCGCACCCTACCTGGGCAGGCGAGCCCAAGGGGATCCTCGCAGGCTCGGCGGGGCCCTGCAACTGCGGCGGGGAGGTGCGGGCGCCCGGGCGGGCCCCGCTGGCGGAAGGGCGCCGCCAGCCCGGACTGGGTGCACGGCCCCGGCGGGAGCCTCGCGTCTTTTGGCGCACGCAGGCACCCGCTCGCACACCGACGAGTCGGTCGCCAGACCTCGGAGCTGTCTCACTCGCGATCAGACTCCATTTTGTGACAGATTTTTGGACTCTCCCGCCAACCCTCCCCCCTTCCGGAGCCTCCTCCAGGAATTCGCCACCTCCTCAGGATACAAACCCTTTCCAGACAAGCGACAGACAGCAAGAAAAGAGTTACATAATTCTGTTTGGCCAAACCGCCAAGAAAAAAACTGGGGGACGGTATGTTGTCATTTTTCCATGTGTTCTCCGGCGGAGGAAGGAGAGGGGTGCTCGCGATTTCGCGTTTGGAGGCCGCGTCTCTTCCCGGTTTCTAGCCGGGGTTTTCTGTCCGAAGAGCTCCGACTGCCCAGGGGCCAGAGCCTCGGGCAACGGAGAATAATCCGATGCTTTGGGTTTTTTTCCTTAGAAGGAGTCCCCCCCCCAAAAAAAAGAAACACGTAGGAGAAAAAGGAGACTTTCAAGTTATGTGCGAAAATGCCAAATGTCGTTCCCCGCCCCCCTGCTCTTTTTGCGGGTGCAGGGCGTGTTGTGGATTTTTATCAAATGCTGTTAAATTCGTCCGAATGTCAATTAATAATTACCCCCGTGGTGCGTAAAATAAATGCTACACCTCTAGGTGTCCAGGATCTTCGAAAACAAATCGAGTGGAGAAAGAAAGCTTAATAAAAATAGCCACCTCTTTCTAAGAACCAAGCCCCACTGCTCTTTGCGGGGAGGACACGTTTTCCAAAAGTTACGGTGGTGGGGGGATTGTTAATTTCCCAATACCGCTGACGCACAGACAAGACAAAATCGAGAAGGCACGTTTCTGTGCCCACTTGCCTGGATTCTCGTCTGAAAGCATTTACGCACAGATGCAATAAATATGCCTCTGCGATCCTCAAAGAAAAAATAAATTGTGAAATATATTTGTATTGTGCAAAGAACACTGTTTCCCTGTGAGCCCCTGCTTGCCTGCCTGCACTGACTGCCCTGGAGAAACGCTGAAACAAGACCTGCTCCAGCAATTTGTGCCCAGGACAGTCTTGCTAACAGCCCCTCCTTGGCACCCAACCAGCCCGCCTGGTGCAGGTAGCTAACTAGCGTTACTGGAAGAAAGAGGAGGTCAGGGAGGAGTGTGCACCGTGAGGGCAGTGAATGACGCCCGAGCCCCGAAGCTGCAGCCCTGCAGGACCCAGACTCGGGACCTGAGATTTGCCCTCTTCCAAAATCCACTCCCAAGCACACCCCTACTGCCCTGAAGAAGAAGAAAGCTCTTGGGAGCCTTTCTTCTTTTTAAAACAAATATACTTCTGACAAAGCGATCGCAAATGTTTAATTGTTTTGTAAAATGAGGGGGTGGGTCCCTCAGCTCTAAGGGCTAACATCCAGCTCAGATTTTGTGACTTTACAGTTCCGTGTTCTGAAGGAGCAGGCGTATCATCCTCTCCTTGTTTGAAAAAGCAGCTCCAGCAGCGACTGGGGCGGAGGTGAGGGCTGGGGGGCAGAACGTGCAGATTGGGACAAGAGGTTGGAAGGAGCCCTGCCAATGTGCACAACCATTTCAGAAACCTGCACAAATGACCCGAGGCCCATTTCCAGTTTCCTGAGCCTCCTGTCCCCACGTGTTGAGTCGACCAGGCTGGTGGCCGAGCTGAGTGGGAAGTGGCACTGCCAGGGCCCTGCTCAGGTTGGACAGGCAGAGCAGTGAGGGCTGCAGGACGGCAGGACGTGGGTGGGCTGCTCCCAGGCCTCCCAGAGCTGCCGACTGCACTTGCCCCAAACCACTTTCCCCATTTCATTTGTGCGTCCCTACGTCCCTACGCCTGCCTGTAGCGGAGCTGACTGGCAGCCTCACCTTCTCCTGGAACTAGAACCCCATCAGCCCAGGGCACAACGCAAAAGCGATCAACAGCACTGTGCCTAACCTGGGGGCGCTCCAGACAGAGGGGGAGGCCTCCACTGGGCTCCTGGACCAGTGAAAGAGCTGACTCCGGGAACCTGACCCCAGCTCCTGCCCGCAGAGCCCCCAGCCAGCAAGAAGAGCAAGGCACAAAAACAGCTCCTGCTAGGCCCCCAGACCAGGGGAGCCCGGCCAGATTAGGCCCTAGTGTGGAGCTCAGCTAGAGTCTTCCATAGTAGAACCTGATGCCCTCCTGAGGGCTCTGGCCTCCGCCAAGCAGTGGAGGAGCACGCCAGCTGCTCCGATTCCCACCATGGCCTGGATTTAGAGAGTCCCTGGGTAGAGCAGGTAAGCTGCTCGGACCACCAGGCAGTGGCAGCCCAGCCTTTTCCCAGGGGTTTGGGCACACACAGTCCCCTCTGAGCCCCCAACCACCTGAGCAGCCTACCCACCCTGCAGCTCCATCTGAAAGAGTTTTCCAGGCCTCACTAGAAAGTTGTCACAGGCAGCCCCTTGCCTCCACAGTGCTGCCCTAGGGATCCCCACATTCCTCTTTTGGCTGGTGCATCTCTCTGCCTCCTTCTCAATCATACTGCCAGGCACAAACCCAGATTGGGGGGGGGAGGCGCATTTACTAATATCTGCCCCAAACCCCTTCACAGTCTCAGCTAAAAACAAAAGTCAGTAGATAGAACTCAACCCACAGCCTCTGGCCTCAACCCTGAGGCTTGAGCTACACCAGGGCAGAGCAGGCCACCCCTCCCCAACACACACTTGCAAAACAGAAAGCCTGCTGCGGATGGCTGATTCAGTCAGTTCTCCACCCCCAAGGGGAGCCCCAGATTGTGGTTTGCCACTTCTTGAGGTCCTCTTCCTAGACAGCTTCTCCAGCCAAAGAAAATTGTAAGTAGAAAATTCCCGCATGGAACGGTTTGGGAAGGATGGACATCCTTTTCTCTCCACCAGGGACTAAAATTGCAGCAGGGCGCCTGGCAGCGAAGGGGCATGGGGGCGCTGCTCAGGCAGTTCAGCACACCCGCTCTCCACCTCCTTGCTCCAGGAATCCCAAGCCCCCATAAACGCAGCCTTTGGGCTTGGAGAAGCACACCACCAGGGCCTGACTCCCTAAAGCACTGCCTTCATTTAAAATAAATTCTTGGCCCCTAATTCAGGCCTCCCAGGACAACTGCATCCATTCCCCAGTCGGCCCAGGGTCTTATCCTGTACCCCAACTCAGCGGCCCAGAGAAAGTTTTCCGCTGCAGCAATTGGGAGGGCAGCAACTGGGAGCTGCCGAAGGCTCCCGGCCGCCCCACTAGTGTCGTCCGGACTGGGATGGTTCGCTCCTGCGGGAGACGCGCAGCCCGCGGAGCCCTCGGCGTGGACTGGCCCAGCGGCGCACAGAGCCGGCGGCAGGGCGGACTGGGCCCGGCCTGGCAGGGGGCGGCCAGGCTCGAGCGCCGGGCGGCGGGGAAGGAGGAGGACTGGAGGCGCTTACTGTTGGTAGTCTTGTTTGCAGTAGAGTTTCCGATCCCGGAAGTAGCAGCTGGTGGTGAGGGCTTGCTGACACGCCGCGCACTGCAAACACTCCTCGTGCCAGGACGACTCGTTGACTCGCATCAGGAAGCGGTCGGAGATGGGCCGCTGGCAGCCCTCGCAGACGGCGGGATGCGGGCAGTCGGAGCCTGCAGCGCACAGGGCGAGAGCCTGGCCGTCAGCGCCCACAAGCCCGGCCCCCGCGTCCCGGCCGCCCGGTGCACGCAGCCCCCGCTCCAAGGGTGTGGGCAGCCCTGGAGCAATACCCGCCGAACCAAGGGCCGGGCAGCCTCAGCTAGTTCGTCCTAGTCCGCGGACTCCGACGCCGAGAAGCCGCCTGGGCTCCGCGCTGTGCTCTCTCCTTCTCCGGAGATCCAGCGCTTGGTATTTAATACGTAAGAGAATGAGTACGGCGCGGGGTAGCCGGCTGGGACGGAGGCAGGCGAGGTGAGGCTGGGGCGCTCGCTGGCTGACACGCCCCACAGTGGCATACGTGGTCTTCTGTCCTCGACCTCCCCAAAATCTGTGGTTTGGGTGACTCAGGGGACATTTTTCTTTTAGAATCTCCCCCTTCCCAAGTGACCTGGCACTACTCCCAAGCTTGTCCAGGTGACTGCTGGGGTCCTCCGTCGCCCCTGCAACCCGCCTCCTACCTCCAGCCCATTGTGGCATCTCTAGATCCGAGGCCGGATGGAGATCCGGGGGTGGAGGCTGAAGCTGTCCTCTAGGTGATGTCCCCACATCCCTCTGTCCCCACAGGATGGCTGTCTAGCTTGTCGCCCCTCTGGTGATTACTCCAGAAGTTTTCTGTGTCCCTGCACATCCCCATGTCCTTAAAACCACTTCCTTTATCAGTTGGTCTAGACGCCTGCTTCCACCTAAGGACGAGGCCCCTGTCCCCTGCCCGTGGCCACACTCGGGCGTCCCGATCCCGCACTCACCCAGCAGCACCCCCAGAGTGGCGGGTCCGGGGCGCAGGGCGTGTTCCTCCATCTTGATGCCGTCCAACATCTTGGCGCAGTCCGTCTGCCCGCGAGGGAAGCACCTCTCCAGCGACTCGGGACCTGTTGCTATATCCATGGGACGCGGGGCGCGCTGCGGGCCCCGCCAGCCAGGGTGCTCGCCCGGCCGCCCGCGGGCCCGCTCGCGGCCGCGGCCGCGGCGCCGGGAAGGCGCGGGCCCCGCGGGATTGGGGCTGCGGCTGGGGCCGCCGGTTGCCCCGGGCGAGCGTGCAGCGTCGGCGGGCTGGACCCGAGTCCCGGCGTCGTGCTGGCGGGCCGGTGCGGCTGCAGCCCGCGCCGCGCTCTCCCGGGCACTCGCACCCACGCGCGCCGGCTCCTCTGTCACCTGCTTGTCAGCCCCGGAGCCGGGTTGCGGCGGCGGCGGCAGACGGAGCCGCGGGGAGGAGACGGCGGCGGCGGCGGCGGCGGTGGCTGCGGCGGCGGCGGGCGGGGGAGGGGGCGGGGGTGCAGGGCGGCCCCGCGGGCTGCGGGGGGGGGCGCGGGCGGCGCAGCGGGGTCCCGGGCGGGGCGCAGCGGGCCGCGGGGCTCCCGGCGCGCTCCCCGCGCTACTCCAGTGCCATGGTGCGCCCGGGGAGCCGCTCGGTTTAGAGCCGGGGCTGGCGGCGGAGGGATACCCCGGCCGGGAGCCGCCTCACCCCTCCTCAAACTTCCTGACATTTGAACTCATTGGAGCGCCTCGTATCCCTGCGCCGGGATGAGCCGGAGGCTCCACGTCAAATAGTGCGGTCGCCGCCCCCCCTCCCCGCAGGAGGGCTCCCCGAGCCCCCGGCTTGCGCCCCTCGCGGCGCCTGGCTCCGGGCACCGGCTCGGGAGGCCCGGCCAGGACGAACGCCCTGCTGGCCCCTCTCAGAAGTTTGGGTTGTCCTGCAAACGAATCCTTCTGCCCCACCCCCTTGAAAAATTGATTTGGGAGTTGGGGAATGAAGGCTTTCTTTTTTCTTTCTCGCCTTCTTTATTATTAATATTTTGTAAAGCTTCAGAGCGGAGAGGAGTGGCCCCGAGCGCGGCCAGACTGCGCGGACCGCGGGGAGCGCAGCGGCTGCACCAGGGGACGGCGCCAGCCGGGGACCCAGACTGTCGGCCGAGGTAGGTTGCGCCGGGCTGAGCTGGCATCCCCGGGCCGCGGCGCCGTCCCGGGGCGGGTTCGGTCCTCGGAGAGAGCTGACTACCGGGCCCGAGGGACGTGGACCTGCAGGAGGGGACGGCTGCTGGCCCAGGATGTGCCAAAGGGGGCCCTGGCCCATGGAGAGGGGGTGAGCCCCGGAATTGGGGTGCGGGGTCCGGGAAGCGTTCAGACGTGGCAGAGATTGGGTGGAGATTTGAGCAAACGTCGCGGAGGGGCCCCAGGTTAAAAAATAGGGGACACTGGCCAGGGAAGGAAGGTGAGGCCAGGTTCACACGACGGGAAGTTTAGAGGACGATTAAGTCTGGGCAAGGGGGTCCCTGGGAACGGGTGGAGGTAATGGACGGGAACCTGGCCTCGAAGGAGGCGGAGTGAGGAACGAGGGCAGGGGCTGTTAGCTCCAGGTCGCGGCAGAAAGTCCGGGACGACGCGCAGCATTCGCCGCTGGAAGGAAACCGGGTTGGACGCTGGATTAGGCGACCTTTGGCGGTGGAGGGACCCGGCCAAGGGTCCGTGGGCCGCGCCCTCCAGGGACAGCGCCACGAGAGGCTGGGCGAAGTGGGCCTCTGCACCCGGGAGCAGAAGGCCGGCGAGACCAAGCGGTCGATCCCGGAGCTTTCGAGGCCCGACACCTACCGGCCTGGCACCCGCGCTCGCCGCTCGGGCCGCCGCGTCGGGCTGCAGCGCACCGCGCCGGTACGGGCTGCATCTTCGGCTTCGGGGGACCCACGAAGGCGCGGCTCGCCGGGGAGCAGGGGGGAAGCCGCCTTGGGGCGGGCGCGGGCTGACCCCGCGGGCTGTGGCGGGGCGGTCCGGGCGCTGGAGGAGCTGGGCAGCGGCGCGAAGCGGGGCGGGGGCGGAGGGCACGGGAGGCGGGTCCCCTGACCCCGCTGGAGGCGAGAGGGCGGATCGGATTTGGAGCCTGCGGGAGGCTTGGTCAGAAGTGGCCCCCTGCGCCGTGGGGCCCCGAGGAGGGGCCCGGCTTTGTGGAGGATCAGGGCCTCCCGCCCCACCCCAGCACCCGCGTGTGCGTCTGTGCGCGCCTGTGCTTGTCCAGGGTCTGGCCTCGGAGGCTTCGGCGCGGGGTGCACCCGGGTTTCCCTGCACATAATACAGTATCGCCGTGTCCCCGGACTTCCCGGGCACCGGATGTGGGACCCTGAGTCTGACTTCCCTGCATCCTTGTGTGTGTGTGTGTTTGTGTGAATCCGAGGGCCCTTCCGCGCCTCTGTTTCTTCCGTGGTTTTGGAGGTCTTTGTGTGTATGTATCCCGTGTCCCTGTCACTCTACGCGGGCGCGTTTGCCTTTGTGCGTCGTCTCTCAGCCTCTGTATCGTGTCTGGGAGCCTTTTCTGTATCTGTGTCGTCTCGTCGCTTTTGTGTGTGTGGGTCTCCGAGTTTCTGAATGATTCTGTGTGCTCGGGTGTCTCAGAGTTTGGGGCGGGGGTGGTTCGGGGTGTGTGCGTGTGTTTTTCTGTCTCCGTGTATTTCTCAGTTTCTGTGGGTCTATATCCAAGACAGTGGATGTAGAGTTTTTCTTATACGGTCCTTGATCCTCGGTCCTCGCAAACCCCAGGCCTCGGTCTACCGAGGTTGGGCCAGGTCTGCCTTCTCCTGGTATCTGGGACGGGGGCCCCGCAGCTGCCAGGAGGAGCCGGCGGCCAGGCCGCGCGGAGCCGAGCCGAGCCGGCGCAGGGTTGTGGGACCGATCGGGCATATTCTGCCCTCTGCTGGTAGCGCTACGTCCCTGCACCTGCTGTCGGGGGAGGAGGCGAGAGGGTCCTGGTTCCAGGTCCCCGACCCTTGTGTTCTTCAGAGCGCACGTGGAAATCATCTCCCACCACAGTCCCTGCAGACCCGCCCGGGACCCCAGACTCCCGGTGCAGCGTCCCATCCTCCTCCCCCGTCTCTCACTAACCCCTTTCCCTGTGCCCAGCCTCTTCCTCTCCACACCTCTTCTCCCTTTCGGCTGAATGGGGGCCTCTTACACTTCTCTGAGCCTCGGCTATGCGTCAAGAGCTGAGTCGGGGCAGGCCGGCTGTGTACAGGTCGCATGCCCGGGGCTACGGGCTGGCCAGCGCTCTGCCTAGGGGGTCGTGCCGGCTGCCCCGTCGGGTGCGGGTGGCTGATGTATCCTGGGGCACACAGAATTTTGGCAGGTCACTTTGCGCCCTTGCCAGCGTCACAGCCAACACCATCAGAACAGAGACTGGGAGGGCCAGGGGTGGCGCTCAGAGACACCCCATAGCTGCCGAGATTCGCACAGCAAGACTCGGGCTAGAGCTGCCGTCTCTTGTCTGGAGGAGGGCTGCTTAGTGCAGAAATCCGGAGTTCCCTCTCTCCGTCCTTTCTGTTCACTGCCCATTTGCCCACCCCCACTCCGGGTCAGCCTGTAGGTCCTGATCCTTGCCCTTTGTCCCTACTCCCGAGTCTCTCATTCCCCGAGCCGAGTCTGTGGTCCCAGATCCTTCGCACACAGCCGCGCAGGGGCCCAGTCTCTCCCGAGCACAATCGCAACCACTGTGCCTCCAGGCCTGTCCCCTGCTGAAGATGTGACCGACTGGAATCTAGAACCGGGGCTAGGCCCGGAGTCGGATACAACCCATGGGGGCCAGGCCTTGCTTTTCCCCACAGCAGCCGGTGGCATCCGGTACCCCCCTCCCACCTCCCGACTGGCCTGAGCGACTCTGGACCCACCATGCGGCGCTCTGACCCAAGGGAATTCCCTTGGGCTCAGACTTCAGCGGCAGAAGAAGCTTCAGCTTTTCTTCACCTAAGGGAAGACATATTCGGCCGTGCGGGATCACTTGGGAAGAAGCAAAACCAGAGAGACAAGCTCCAGGGTGAGCGTCTGGGCTTCCCAGATTCCGTGGATGCCCCGTCTTCACTGAGCCCTCCCCAGTCCTCCTTGCTCCTTTTCTTAGGGCCTTGCAGCCCTCCCCACGTGCCAGAGCGACCAGCGTCCTGTGCTCAACAGCCCGCTCCCTGCATTGAGCCTGGTGCACCCCCCTCCCCATGCTTTCTGACCAGAGCCTAGCACCAGGGGCCCCTCTCAGTTTACGATCCTAGCCGGAGACGAGGATCCTGGACCAGGATGGAGTAGAGGGTGCTCCCTGGCCAGTGCTGTGGGGGACAAAGGTGCAGACACTCAGGCCTAGGTGTGCTTGGCCCCAGCACATGTGGTCAAAGGCTCAGGCCCCTTCTCAGTTAGCAAAGAGGTGGCCATGTGTGATGAGCAACCCTGTCACCCCCCCACAGCCCAGGGCAGAGTGTCTGTGGTCTTGTGCTTTGGGGGAACTCAGAGACCTGCGTTGGTGGTGGTCCAGAGTAGTGAATGCAGGGAGAGAGGTCCAAGCTTCGGTCCCTCTGACTCAGGGATGGGGGCAGGCTCTCTCCCTCCTGGGCTCTTCTAGGCTGGTGGCAGAGGTGGCAGGGGATAGGGTTTTAGACAGAGTTGGCAGGTGAGGCGCCGTGTGGGTGACTGTGACGGAGGCTGTGTGCAATGTGGAGCACCGCCCGGTTCCTCTGTTCTCTGCAGCTCGCCCCCACCCTCCGCCAGCCCATGGGGTCTCTGGCCACAGACCCATGACTTGTCAGCACAAGTTCTGGGTCATTAGTCATGAGATTGCTCCCTCGTGGGTCAGGAGATGGGGATCCCTTAGATCCGGAGAGTGCAGCCAACTCCGGGGTGGGGCTTAGGGAGGGTCAGTGCCCTAGGGAGGTGGCCCAGGGCTAAGGTCTTCCACTGGCCAGGCAGGGCTTAGGAGTGGTCAAGACCAGGTCTCCGGAAGTCATCCAGACCTGGCTCAGGATCCAGCTGTGGGGCCTCAGGGACGTCCTGCTCTCTCTTTGCACCTCAGCTTCCTCATCTCTAAAGTGGGCATCAGGGTAGCATTTATCCTACAAGGTGGTGGGGGAGACAAAGTGTGCTTGCCAAAGTGCCTGGCACATAGTGGGTCTCTAAAAATATTTGGCAAATGATTGAATGAAAGAGAGTTCCCAGGACTTGGGGAAATCACAGCTCCCCTCCAACCAGAGCCCAAGGAGAAGCAGTCTGAACTGAATGTAGCCATCTATCTTCCTTCAGGGCACGGGAGATTCAGATCCCAGCCACTGTGGGTGTGGCCCAGGGGACCCCCCTCCCCAGGCAGCACCCAGACTTCCTGCACAGTTAGCCTGTGGAGCCCTGGGCTGGGGCTGCCCAAGCCGGACCTTCAGTAGGGAGCAGAATTAGGGGTGCAGCACATTGCATCAAAACCAGCTGTGTGGGGCTCTCAAGGCGCCGTTTATGTATATGTGCATTTTTAAAGGGCACTTTCCTCCAGAATTGTTGCACTTCTTACCAAATGGAGGG